TTAAATGGCGCCATTTTCAGATTAAGTCGCAAGTATGAACAGCACATCAAACAGGCTCGGCACTTCCGAACATCAACATCATTTTGTAAGTAGTTCCATTCTATTGTTCCATAGGCTTCAATCCATAAATTGAACAGTTATCAGTGATACATTTCAACAGTTGATTGGTCTTTTTACAAAGAGATTATTCAGTGCTGATTCAATTTTTCAGATGCGGAAATTAAGACTGTGGAAGTGCCCCCATTTGCGGAGTCTATTACTGAGGGCGACATCAGGTGGATGAAAGAAGTAGGAGACTCAGTGGCTGAGGACGAGGCCATCGCAGAAATCGAGACTGACAAGGTGGGTGACATGTGTTTGTGAATTAGATTTGTGTAAGTCAGAGGAATAGTAATAATTGTCATATACTTACTATTGGTAATGTTTTTATATTAATTTTCATCTTCTGAAACTTTTTTTTTCTAGACCTCTATGCCAGTAAACTCCCCTTGTGCTGGAGTGATTAAAGAAATCATGGTAGAAGATGGATCCACAGTCAACCCTGGCACTGCCATTTGTAAAATTGAAGCTGGTGCTGCTGGTGCTAAGAAGGAAGCTGCCCCTGCTGCAGAAGCTCCTGCAGCAGCTGCTGCGGCAGCTGCAGCCACTGCTGCTGCTGCTGCTGCTAAACCTGCACCTGCTGCTGCTGCCCCTCCTCCTGCTGCTCCTGCTGCAGCAGCAGGACCTATCCCATCAGCTGCCCCTCCTGCTGCCCCACCTCCATCCGCACCAAAGTTGTCCATCCCAGTGGCAGCCATCAAGCATTCATCATTCATTCAGCAAGCAGAAGTGAAAGTGAGTGACATAATGTATATGAGGAAGGTGGAAAAAACACTTTTTTACCATAACTTTGAAATAGTTAATGAAATAAGTAATATATGTATTAATTTCTGAACTTTGCTTTATGCCACAGAGAAAAATGAAGATAGATTTTCTTTTTTCTTTTTCAGTTTATTTATGAATATACTACAGGAAGTGTGAATTGATCACAACTCATATCAGTACATAAATCCAAATCCCATTTTATTTTCAAGGTTCCTCCAGCAGATTACAGTCAGGAAATCACTGGAACTCGTACAGAGCAGCGAGTCAAAATGTCTCGCATGCGGCAGCGCATTGCTGCTCGTCTCAAGGAGGCACAAAACACCAATGCCATGTTAACCACTTTCAATGAGCTGGACATGAGGCAAGTTTCTTTTATTTGTGTTTATATACATAAATATTTTATCATCTTTCATTCATTATTTAAAGATGTTTGGTTTAGTGACAGGTTTTGCCATTTTTATTATTGTATTATCTAGTCAAGCATCTGGAAAACTTTGGCTTATTATGCAGATACATTGTTGTATGTATTCCATGCTTCCATTCTTTAGACCTAAAAGAAAGGCTGCGAGAGAAATATTTTGTTCATTATGGTTAGAAAGGGTTTAGAATTTTCCACTGAAGATGTTAAGGAAGAAAAAGGTATGAATGTTGTGACTAACTTTGCAGTTTTAATTATTCTCCTTTTCAAGATGATAAGTTCTTAGCTCTACCTAGAAAACAGCTCGATGCTTACCCAAGAGTTTGCAGCACCACTTCCAATCCCCTTCTGAATGAAATCCTTCTTCCAGTAATATCATGGAGCTCCGCAAGAGCATTGGCGAACAGTTCCATAAGAAGCACGGCATCAAGCTTGGTTTCATGTCGGCATTCGTGAAGGCTTCAGCCTATGCCCTGACACAGCAGCCAACTGTCAATGCTGTGATTGAAGGATCAGAAATTATCTACAGGGACTACGTAGATATCTCGGTTGCTGTGGCTACTCCAAAGGTATTTTGTGCTTTCTTTTTCTTTCTTCATTTTCCCCTCCTTTTGATTTTAATTTGTGGAAGGTTACTTTCTTGTTGAGGAAAAAGTATGAAATTATGTATCAGCTTACAGTCCATTTTGTAATTGCTTTGATGTTGTCATAGCTAATTACATACTGCCATCAACCATAGTGACCGTTGTTGAAAAAAAGGCCTTATCTATTTGTTACTGATTTTTAAAATGTGTGTATGTGTATATATGTCTATATAACTTTTCTAATTCACCGAGCTGGAAAAAAATAATGATTATTGGTTGAATAAATGAGAATATCAGTTCTGTCTGCTCTGATCAAATTTACAAAGGTGTATCTTCTTCTGTTTCTGCACAACTCTTGATGATCCATATTACTTCAGGGCCTCGTGGTGCCAGTGCTGCGCAACGTGGAAGGAATGAACTACCTGGACATTGAGCGTGGCATTGCAGCACTTGGTGAGAAGGCCCGCACAGGGTCTCTGGCCGTCGAGGATATGGATGGGGGCACCTTCACCATCAGCAATGGAGGTGTCTTCGGGTCCCTCTTCGGAACACCCATCATCAACCCACCGCAGTCGGCCATTTTGGGCATGCACGGAATCTTCAACAGACCGGTTGCCAGGAACGGACAGGTAAGGGTGCACTATTTCTTTCTTTCCTTCTCTTTTTTAGGTATGTGTATATTTTACAATCCATGTTAATTGCTCAAAATATTTCCTTTATCTAGTTGACAATAAGATTAGTTATTTTATTATTGTAAACAAGAATTTTCATTTGTTTAACATTCAGGGGAAAAATGAAAAAGAAAAAGAAAAAAGATATATATATATATATATATATATATATATATATATATATATATATATATATATATATATATATATATGTATAATTATATGATATATATTTATGATATACATATACATGTTTCTTTAAAGTTGATATTGGAGGACAATCTATTTTATGATACAATAGACAGAGATTTGTGGATATTTAACTTAATGCCAATAATGCATTCATAATTGTATTGACCACAAGTGCATAGTCACCATAGAGTCAGTTGTCTGACCTCATCTATGTATTTTTATTGTCATTATTATTGTTATGAACATACTTATAATAGAACATTAATAACAATAAGAACTTTTCTTATTGTGAAAATGTAAGGAAATTTAGGGTAAACAGATCAGGTAGGCCTGGTAATTGACTCCTTGGTGACTAAGGGCTTGGTGAAGCATCTATGTGTAAAAAAGTATATATATATGTTAAACAAAACAGTAAAATTAAACTGTAGTGGACACTGCATGTAACTGATGTCAGTGGGTTAAGAAATTTCTTCAACTAAAAAGAATCAATCTTAATTTTTCCTAATTAGTTAATTAGGCCAGTGACTCAACTGATAATGATTTTTCCTCATGCAGGTGGTAATTAGGCCCATGATGTTCATTGCCCTGACTTACGATCACCGACTGATTGACGGAAGGGAGGCAGTAACATTCCTGCGCAAGATCAAGGATGCTGTCGAAGACCCAAGGACCATTCTGTGCGGACTGTAGGACCATGAATGAATTATATAGTTGTGGAAATAAACTGAGAGCATTTTTTTGGATGGAGTAAACTCCCCTATGTAGTACTTGGCTAGAGATTTATACATGAAGGAATTTGATATATAAGAAAGAAAACACAATATCCAGTATGTTATTCCCGTGCATTTCAATCTTTCATAGAGCTGGAATTCATTTACATGCACAATTTTGGAACTCCATAATGAAGTCCCAGATGTATTCTATATAGCCTGCCTAATGTAAAGAAGGAATACTGGGACTTTCTTAAAGGGAAACAAAACAAGGCTTCACCACAATGGGATGTTGAATTGCACTCTATTTTTGTATAATTTATGATCTGAAGCTCTTTGGTTGATGAGGGACTCGAGGGGCAGAGTGATCTGGCCCCAATAATCTATCTTGTGTAAATATTGTAATATAGGACAGACTTTTATTGTTATCACAGTCACATTTGAAATACTTCCCCCACTTCTCTTCACTGTTTCTAACCCTCCCACATTCTCAGACTTGCACCAGATGCTCCTCCCAGCTTGGGTATTATTGGACATGATGAAGGTCCTATTAAAAAAGGAACAAAAAATTTTGAGATGTCTTTTCATTGCCTGATATCAATTTATTGTCTGTTATTCGCATGAAATGTGAAAGCATTGTCAAGAAAATAATTGGATTTCAAATGTTTAGAAGTCTCCATTTTGTGTAAGATCTCTCTTGAAGTATTGTACCTTTGGAAAATTTATTTTACTGCACAATTTCATTGGTGAAAATATCAAAATAACATGTTAACAGTGAAAAATTCACAATGTACAACGTTCTAAACCTAGATAATAATCTTCCAACTTTTAATACTTAAAATACATATTTACTTTTTAAAATTTTTATTTGTTCTCTTCAATAGCAGATACAATTTAAGAGCTAATTCTTGTAATATATAATCTAATGAACAATATATACAGAAAAAATGCGTCCTGACTTCATTGAGAAAAGTTTGGTAAATCAAATGGTTTTTTACCAATGGATAGCACATACAGTCAATTTGTTGGGATCTATCTCCCAGTCATGGCATTTGCTTGGTCAGCGAATAGCGACCAATGTTCATGAGTTGCAGAATCAAACTGTATTGATTTGAAGGCAAGAAGATGCATTGTATTGTCTGACGTGCATGGATTTAAAGAATTTCGTTTGCATTGCATAAAAAGGACTATGTAAAGGCAGTATACATTTTGCTGTGATAATATATGATGCCCATTTGTTGATTTACTAAATTAAATTGAGTGCTAATTTTTCTTTGTGACCCAGTTCGACTTTGTTTAACCTCACCTGGGACCCTAATGAACCTCTGTTCCAAACTAGTCTGTATTTAATCTCTCTACCTTGCATAAAACACTTTCATTTGTTATATATAATTTTTTTGTCTTTTAACTTACATTTTATAGAAACAGGAACTGTATCAAGTATGTGCTCTTTCAAATCATCATGAATTAACACATTTTGATTTATAAAGATTACCACTACATTAAATAGTTCCATTTCAGGATGTTATTGTGATGACACCCAGGGCATACAAACTCTATA